TTAAGCGGTGAATAGATAATGGATGGATAGAAATGTGTTCTCTGCACATACTGAATTGTGTGCACGACTTTTTGTGGGTTCAGCGTTCCTGCTTTGTATCAAGCAACCTACTTGCACCATGCGACAGTAAATTAGAATTAACTAGAAACATCTGAACTCCGTCTCTCTGCGTTTGTAGAAACGTTTAAGCAATTATTGGGAATGACGGACAATAAAGACAACGCAGCACAGTAAAAGTCCTGCATGAAGAATGCTCCTCACGGAAGAGTCCATGTGCAAACGTTTGATTAATAGTAGTGAAGCATCAGTGTGTTGGAAGCGTGTTTCTGTTGTAGCTGCTGCAGGTTGGAACTACTTTAGGTCCACTTTTATATCCAGGAACAGCAGATAAACGTGAGGATTGAGCAATAGCAGCATAGCTTAGTCTGAATAGCATCTGGCATCTTGATTAACTGTAGTGCATATGGAGAGTCTGCATGTGAGGCAATTCAAAGACATCTATGTGTGTATTTTTTGCAAGGACTGTACCAAAAGCATGACTGGGAGCAGAGCCTTTGCTGTCTGAGCAGCTATGAATTAAAATAAATAAAATAAACTGCACAAGAGGAGCTACCTTGTACTGAATTTAAGCTCCACACATTGTAAAGAAATTAGCAACATGTATGCAAACTTAGAAAAACGCTTTGTATATGATGTTTAGCACAAGTGCACTCAATGGAAAAAGTTAGTCTGCAGCCCTGCAGAAAGCAGTTGTATAAAGCTGTGTGTAGCTCAGAAGCAGCTTTCTAAAGTCTGAGAAATTAATCCTGAAGTCATCGTCAGGGTTGGCTTCGGCTTTACGGCTTCAAATGTGCAACAAAGTTTGAAAGATGTTTCCAGACGTCTCCAACCGGCTGCATCGCTTGTTTAAAAACCCGTCACTCTTAGAGAAGCGATGAGGTTTTATTTCATGAAATTATAGTTTTTAATGGGTTTCTTCTTTTTCTTCTGCAGCATGAAAGAGAGCAAGTGATGACGACTAATGTCTGGTTAACACAGGTGAGTCTTCAAGCTCTTCTTTCTCATCTTTAGCCACAAACACAAAAAAAATGATTAAAATGTGGAGTTAATTGTGCGATTTTGGTTGTTTTTATGTTGGATTTCACAGCGCGACAGTCAGGTCAGTGGAAGTGAATCACAAACCGTCAGGGACTTGGATGGTAGTCATAAATGTGGCGCTGGGGGAGAAAAAAAAGCGCCTCCCTCTGCAATACATTCCACTATATGATGGTTTACGTTATATAATCAAGTGCCACAGTGTTTTCATACTAGCAGAGCATGATGCATGAGTTGTGCTGCAGCTACTGGAGGGGAAAGATGCATCTCTGCGTTCCATATGTTTCACCGGTTCTGTGGCGAGCGGAGTGTAACCCTGCTCCTGCTAAAGTGCAGCAGCAGCTATTAAATAAAAAAGACTGAAGCATCGCACAGCAAGAGATAAAGACACCAGACAATACACGTCCTCGAAAAACTCTGAATCCGACAGAAGGAAGATGAAAGAGGAGGATATAAATAATCCTTTTTTTTTTTTTGCAACCGAAACCCAGAAAATTGACGACACTTTCTGCTGAATCCTTGTTTCTCAGTGGTGATTTTAGATGAAACACACCATCAGTTCACCCGGTAATGATAATGCGACTCTGACTGAGCGTTGACCCTGAGCCACACGGCCGGCCCTTACAGCTGATGCCTACATAAAATAGTACATCATGCAGGTATACACATTAAGTAATCGTACAAAGACACGACATGCACCCGCGTACGGTCAACATATGCTAACGTTTGAAGGCAGGTGTTGGAGCAAAACTACCACAAGAATCATGTTCAATTCCGAGTTCGGCAAAATCACTGAAATGTCATAATTCAAGACTGCATCACCTTATTAATAACTATTACTTCTTAGTTGAACAGTTGCTTTTATGTGAATAAAAGTACTTTTTAGATTTACAGTAGGAACTCAATGCAACAAGGCTCAGTTCACTTTTCATTACTTTGATTCCTACGTCAGCTGATACTTTTACTGATGGACTCAATCCTGCAGAGCGTGGACCAGATCAAATTTACGGAGAGATGCTCTATCCGTTGCTATAAATACTCCAAAAATGTTCTGTTGGATTCAGACCAGGACACGTACTTGTCCAAGTTGTTGATGTTGTTCTCTGGATGGTTCTCCTGCTGGAATATTCCTCTTCTTCCAGCTTCTGCAGACTGGGAGTCATCTTGGTTTATCCTCAGACATTCATCTATAAATGTCATCAACACCTTCTGCCCTCATGCAGCCCCACATCATGATGCTGCCACCTCCGTGCTTCACTGTCAGGACGATGCATCCACTGTGGTGGTCCTGGTCAGGTTCACACCAAACATCTGGACTCCATCTGAGCCCAACACATTTATCTTCATCTGACCAAAGATTGTTCTCCAACATTCATCAGGCTTTTATTTTATGTTGTTTAGCAAAGTTTCATTTCACAGTTTTGAGCTAAAGAGCAAGCAATGATTGTTTTCTTGGCCTACGTCCATAGAGGCTGATGTTCTGATGTGTCCTGGTTTCCATTGATAACCCCTGTGTCAAGTCTGAAGCAGCTGCCTTTGTCTGTTTTTCACAGCTGGATTGTGAAAGTAGTTGACTGTCTGTGGAGTCATTGTAGGAGGACGACCACTGCAGCCCTGATCAGTGCTGCTATGGCTCCTTCTAGACCTCCTGATTTCCACTGAAACTGTGGGTCACTGATTTTTAGTTGATTGTCCTGGATCCTTTTCCATCTTTGTGAAGTTTAACAATCAGATGTGGCAGTTTTTTGTTTTGTGTTTTCCATGTGGAGCCATGATGCAGACATAGATACACACAGTCCATAGGTCCAAAACCGAGAAAGTTCTGCTGCTCACAGCTCATTTTATAATCATGTTCATGCATTTACACTGATTAGAAATCACAAATGGGCTCAGTTTAGCTTCAGTGGTCACATGTGTTTTGTTGCATTGAGTTTCTACTCTGGGGCCTGACATTTTAATAGTCTTTCTAAAGTATTCGTTTTCGATTGTTCCCAAGAGGAAATGTTCGACTGTTCAACTCTATAATAATGCAACTATTGAGCGATGGTATGATTTAGTATTAGTTGTTATTCACATTGATCTCCTCCCTCCTGTTGTATAATGCAGCTCCATTGCTGAGACAACCCCTTAAACACCCTTCTGTGTAAATATACCGTAACCATTATTGATGGTGTGTATTTATTCACATGCCGACACACACATACACACATGCTGCATGCAGTTGCAGCCGAGGAAGTGAGGATTTACGACATGTAACGGAGCATAGAATGACCATCAGCGCTCTATGGATTCCTCGCCGCCGCTAGTAAGAGAGCCAAGGACAGCTGTCCCGAGCCAAGACAAACTGTAATGACCATAATGCATCACAGTTACTGTGGAGCGCCTAGCAGGAGCATTACAGCCGAAACCTGGTCGCAACACGCGGGAGTCGGGCTGAGCTGCTGTTACAGGTCACAGAGGCTACAGTGTGCAATGTCAAACACTAAACCGCAACACAGACAACAAGATAATGTCGGCATTTCACACAAGGACACGCAGAGGAGACGTCTGCTGATGCACTCACGTACATGGGAACAGCCTCCCCAGTATGCCGTTTTAATCAGCGTGATTGGTTTGTGGCTGGCTGTGTTTAAAAGGCCATTCAGGGTCAACACGAGTGTTGCGCTCGCTCTCTTTGGCTTGTAGTTGAAAGTGGGACGAAGGCACAAGAGAGGACAGACGGCGCAGCGTGTTCCCCTGGATGACATGTACACTTAAGACCAAAATTATTCAAATTTATGCCAAATTTGGTTTATAGTGAATTTCTACTGACCAACAGGTTTCTTCTGACCAGAAGTGACACAAACAAGAAGCAAAAGACAGTAAGACATTGTGTTAGAGATGTTAATGCTTAATTTTAGCTATTTTTACGCTACTTTTTGGCGGGTAGTCAGTGTCAAAGTCTTTATTTTCCTCCACATCAGTCTGGTTCTAGTGTCCAACAGTGTTTCTGGGATTTGGTTCCTCCAAGTGTCTATCTGCAGCTCTTGGAGCTTGAAGGCTTCCTCTCCATCACTCTGCTCTTCAGCTCCTCCACAGGTTCTGGATGGATTCAGGTCTGGACTCTGGCTGGGCCGCTCCAACATCTCCTCATTGTTTCCTCTTCACTGTTTCTTCACCACTTTGGCTGCATGTTTCACATCATTGTCTTGTTGAAGCTCCAATGCTGCCTAAGGAGCAGTGTTCCTGCAGACTTCCTGATGTTCTCCTCTGTTCTCATGAAGCCGTTTCCTCTGACCAGGCTGTCTGGTCCGTCGGCTCAACAACAGTCCCAAAGCATCACGTTCCACCACCATGTTGGACCGTGGGGATGCTGCTCTTGGCCTTGAATGCTTCTCCTTTCTCTGTGTCCAAACATCTCCATGTTCATGAAGTGATGAGCAGCAGCTTTCTTCTTTGTCCTTGAGAAGTGGATCCTCCTTGTCTCCATGGAGACCAGCCTTGTTGTTGGTCTGCTGGAGTGTCTGATTGACATGTTGCTACCAGAACTGCTCACATTGATCAGGATGCTCTTGGTGCTGGTCCTTGGGTTCTTCTTGGTCTCCACCATTCTTCCAGTGCAGGACTCACGTCTGTCCTCCTGCAGCCCTTTGACATGTTCCACTTGTGGACTTCTTCATGGAGCTTCAAACTGTGAACGTTGAAAGCACTTGATATGACTTTATAGCCTTTAAATGTCTTGTGAGCAGCAGCAATGCGCATTCGGAGGTACTAATTGAGCTCTTTGTTTTCAGTCTTTACAACTAACTGACTAGAGAACTGCTGCATCAGCTGTTCTCAGTTTATAGTGTATCAGAACGCTGTAGAACAAGCTAGAACACACAATGACCTTTTTGAATGGTTTAGAAGCTGCATTTTCTCAACTCTCTCAAAGATTGGTGGCAATGTCAAGGGGGTGAATATTTTGAACATGGCATTTGTAGTATAAAATGTAATAAATCTGTTTGTTCATGGTTCAAAATCATACTAACATTTCTAGCACAATGTTTTACTGTCTTTTGTAACTTGTTTATGTCATTTCCAGTCACAAGAAACCTTTTGGTCACATACAAATTCACTATAAACCAAAATTCAGTGTGGGTATGAATAATTCTGGACCTCCTTTTATTCTGATGTGTCATGTTGGCTGCTAACAGACTCTCTCCTTCCTGCTCCTGCAAAGTCGCCTCCTTGCTGCCGTGTGATTGGCAGATGAGTGACTCTGCATTGTGTTTTTATTGGCTCTCAGGAGTGGCAGGACTACCGGCTGACTTGGGTCCCGGAGGAGTTTGATGGGATGCTGAAGGTCAGGCTGCCCTCCAAACACATCTGGCTGCCGGACGTGGTGCTCTACAACAAGTGAGTCCCTCCCTCGCCGTCCTGTCTTCGCCTCAGAAAGCTTCCAGGAGACACAAACATGCACAACGAGAGCACACACAGTCCTCTTATTAATCTGATAATGCTTTAATGCCGGCTCCCCGGTGCACCGATCCAGCTGCTGTAAGTCAGTCTGAATAAGAACATCAATTAAATAGCCAGTTTTAAAGTTGTAATACATACAGAGGCACCACACATGGCTGAATATGTCCACTGGCATCTCCTCGTATCGCTCATGCTGCATTACTGAACCTCCAAGTCTCACGAGGCACTTCAAAGACCGAGTCATCTGCACGACACACTCGGCTCGATCAGCACATGCATGTACAGTCGATGTATGGCGATACAGCAGGTGTGTGCAGTTAGTCCACAAGAATGCACTTGCTCACAAAAAGGCACGCAAACTGCTCCGCTGTCTTTTTTGCTTGTTAAATATGCAAGATTTATGCGGTATGCATGCCGAGAGGCTCAATAATTAACTCTTATCTTTGCATTTTAACTCTTAGAGCCTGACAGACGCACTTTGCATCAGAGTTCACATCCTTTATTCTCAGTCGAGTTGCTTTCGAAGCATTTATTGCAGTGGTGCGTGGTGCACGATAAATGAAACTGCACGATTTGACCTTTCTAACGATGTCAGTTGCTCCTCTGTGCAGGGAATCAACGGTGAGAAAAATTATTTTTAATTTACAACCTAGATTCAGCTCCTTGTCCTTCCCGACACCAATCATTTTCAACTTTGCAGTGCTAGTATCTCAATATTTCATGTTTCGCCCCAGAAATTACTGTACAAAATCTAGACTAACAACTTGTTTGTACACAGGACACAGATTTATTGAACTGAAACAACAGAGGCGTGGTTCAAAACAGTAAGAAGTGTCTACGGACAGAGTAGTTTTAAAAATGCAAAAGAATTCATCAACTCTATGAAAATGGACCAAAAGATTTCCTACTATAATTTGATTCAGTTTAACAGTGCAGTTCTTTTTTCAGAAAACTTATAGCACAATAGAATTAGCAAAGGGAGGGGAAACGGGGGCGGGATCCTGGCAAAACTCTGGCAAAACTCTGGCAAAACTCTGGCAAAACTCTGGCAAAACTCTGGCAAAACTCTGGCAAAACTCTGGCAAAACTCTGGCAANAAAACTCTGGCAAAACTCTGGCAAAACTCTGGCAAAACTCTGGCAAAACTCTGGCAAAACTCTGGCAAAACTCTGGCAAAACTCTGGCAAAACTCCGGCAAAACTCCGGCAAAACGCCGGCAAAACGCCGGCAAAACTCTGGCAAAACTACCCTGTACCTAGACATATTGGTGTATTAGCTACACAGACTTGACGGGGTTGGTAGCATCCAAATTACTCAAAGACAGACACCCTTAGGCTTTGCAAACTTCAGGGAAACAGACACTAAGACAATGAGGCAGCCAAGAAACAAGAAACAAATGCAGCTCAGTCACTGTGTGAATGCAAATGAATAAAAACCTTTTTAAAAAGAATCTTCAGCACCTACCTCAGAGTCTCAGAGAGGAATCCCACATGGCAACTAACACTTAGAGACAAAGGGCGGCCATGATGCCACAGGGGCTTTAAATACCTTTAGGTAGGGGCGGGGCCATGGGAGGAGTCGACCCAGTTCTGTGGAGGTGTGTTCAAGAGCTATAAGGAAATACTCAATTCACCTGAACACAAGTGACTCCATTAAATGTCCAATGTAATCACTAAAATATGAATCTGCATAGATAATATTTAAAGTTCAGTTTAAAAGTTTTCCTGCTACCTTTAAGATAAGATAATTCTCTAATGATGCCCATAGGGGAAATTTGGGAGTTAAAATGTGAGTTAACTGCACTTTGGTTGATTAACTGTGAGAGAAGCTGAGAAACACACATTGTTCCATTCAAAATGCCAACAATAACATTCATAAAGTTGTCATTTTGCATTGGCAAGGCCATTCTCAAAGGCAAATCAGGAAGCAAACTGGATACTCAAGGTGTGCTATCCAAGGTGTTGTAAGGAAATTTACAGAATGTGGAACAGTGAAGGTCAAAAATAGGAGTAGAGAGCCAAGAAAGCTGTCTGATGAGAAGTTCTGTTTCTTTGGGAGAAGAATTGGCTCATTGTCTAGAAGTTCTTCAATCTGGAGAAGTTTGATCCAGAATTACTTCTGTCAAAGGCAGAAACCAGTTTGTCTAAAGTGCAACAGGACTGAGAGGTTGAAATATTGGAGTGTAGATCGTTGGAAAAGAGTCCCGTGAGGAGGCGAATAAAAGTTTGAAATGTGCAGCTCCAACTGCTGACGAGAGAAAAGTTGGCGAGAAAGAGCGATGGCAGCCTTCAGCCTATTGCTGAACTGATGCAAAATGAAGACAACATTTGGATTTTTCAAGCCAGTGTTTGTGGAAAGTGATTGAAAACAGGTTTAATTTTCAGAGTGCTGATGATTCCAAGCTGATAAACACTGCCAGTGCTTGACCAGCCTCCTCCAGAGTCCAAAACTGAACATTCTTGCTGTATCTTAATAACAAGACAGAAATAAACATGTTTTGCAAACAACAAACCTAATAGTGGCCTTAAACTTTTGCAGTCGTGTAAATGTAAATAAACCTAAACGGAGGTAAGTACAGTGAGCTAACTAACTCCAACTCTTCACATGTAAAGCAGCATGTTTTGTTAATTAGAGTTCGCCCGCATGTCTGAGGCAGATCCGGATGTTGCGGACCACTTGTCTTAATGTAATGGAAACCGAGCGTCAGCCTGCAGTATGTAAATCAGCTCAGAGTACAGTGATCTGTCTGGCCTTCTCCTCTTTCCCTGCCTCGGTCCCCACTCCACCAAAGATTAAAAGATCCCTGACCCTCCTAACTCTGGATAATGGATCCCATTAATCCCACGTACCCCAGGTCGGCTCACCTTCCTCCGAGTCTCAGACGTTTCCAACTGTCAGTCACTCAAAACGGGGGGGATTAGCTCGGCTTACGTCACGAATTTTGAAGTCTCAGTTTTATTTGGTTTGTTGAATTTGGAGGAAAGATGGTGAGAAGGTGGGTCAGTTATGTAAGCGCGTGAAGTATGTGTGCGTTATATCTTACGGCATTAGCCATCATTAGGTGGTTTTTTTATTTTAATGAAAATCCCGAGTTAAATAGAAATTCAATCTACAGCTTTAATGCTGTCAGCGGACCTGTGGGCAAAGTTCTAACTGGAGTCGTTTAAGCCGACCTGGTCTGACCTGTGAGCTGTGCTTCCTGTCTAGACTGACCGTTTGCTGGATTCAGTTTCCTCGTTTCTTGTTTTTATTCATGCGCAGGTTTTTGTGACCCCACTGACCTCAAAAGTTTCACCTCGAGATCCATGTGTTCACGTCGTCGAACTCCAATAAAACTACACTGCATAACGAGATGTTTCTCTCCACATGACGTCTAATTACACTTTGTTTTAATTTAAAGCCTCACAGCAATGTCTGACTCATCTGATTTGGGGAATATCGCTATCTGTGTGTTTTCAGAACTCCTTTCGCTAAAGAAACCAACAAAAACATTCTCCGAGCAACAACCTAAATGCTAAAAATGGCAAGCTTGGATGATGACTTGGATTTTCTGTTAGTAAATTTGCCATTTTATTGAACGTGCTCACCTCCCTGTGTGTAAATGTTCCACCAAAGCAATTCCCCCATCACTATTTTGCAGGGGCACCATTCCTGCATCCCGGGCTTAGCACCTTCCAACACAGCTTGCGATTGATTTAAAGAGAACTTTTTCTTTCCAAGTGAGAATATTTGCAGTTCCTTTTTTAGCACACAAAGTTTCAATCAGCGCTAAAGCGGACATCAAGCAAGACGGACTGTAAAAACAAATCGTCAGTGATATTTAAACTGTTGATTGAATCACAACTTTTTGTACTTGGGACGACTTAATTAGGCTGTTGGCCTGCCGTCGTCTAACGGATAATAAGATACTGAAACAATATGGAGACAATCCTTCACATGGGTTTCAAGCAGTTCTTGCATTCAAGTAAGTTGCAGCACAGTGATTATATGAACTAAGTCAGTCTAACATTTCATGGTGTGGACAGTTACAGTTGGCTAATATGTGTGAACTGGTTACGTAATCTTAGAAATGAGCCATCACTGACTGCACTAATGGACTCTAATAAATAGCACTACACCCGTGTTTATAGCAGCGTTTTATGATGGTGCTGTCAGACCATTCTCCACTTATGTCTGGCTAATCACACCAATGTCTGACACTCTTTCTCCTCTTGCCTCCTAGTGCCGATGGGGTGTACGAGGTCTCCTTCTACTCGAATGCGGTGGTTTCCTACGATGGCAGCATCTTCTGGTTGCCGCCGGCGATCTATAAATCCGCCTGCAAGATTGAGGTCAAGCACTTCCCGTTCGACCAGCAGAACTGCACGCTGCGCTTCCGCTCCTGGACCTACGACCGCACCGAGATCGACCTGGTGCTTCGCGCCGACGTAGCCAGCATGGACGACTTCACGCCCAGCGGCGAGTGGGACATCATCGCCCTGCCCGGTCGACGGAACGAGAACCCGGGGGATCCGACCTACGTGGACATCACATACGACTTCATCATCCGCAGGAAGCCTCTTTTCTACACCATCAACCTCATCATCCCGTGCGTGCTCATCACCTCGCTGGCCATTCTGGTCTTCTACCTGCCGTCCGACTGCGGCGAGAAGATGACGCTGTGCATCTCGGTGCTGCTGGCGCTCACTGTGTTCCTGCTGCTGATCTCTAAGATCGTCCCGCCGACCTCGCTGGACGTCCCTCTGGTGGGGAAGTACCTGATGTTCACCATGGTGCTGGTCACGTTCTCCATCGTCACCAGCGTGTGCGTGCTCAACGTGCACCACCGCTCACCCACCACGCACACCATGCCGCCGTGGGTCAAACTGGTGTTCCTCAACAAGCTCCCCGCTCTGCTCTTCATGCGCCAGCCAAGGAACAGCTGCGAGCGCCAGCGGCTGCGTCAGAGGAGGAGGGCGCAGGAGCAGAAGGACGGCCAGCGCAGCGGGGAAGCCGGGGCCCTGATGGTGGGCCTCGGGCTGAGCGGCGCTTCCGGGAACGGAGGGGGAACCTCCACGGCGGTCTTCGGCAAGGAGGACAGTGACCCTTGTACGTGCTACGTGAACCGGGCGTCTGTTAAACAGTTCGGAGGGGACCTGGGAGGTGCAGGAGGCGGATCCATGGATGGGCTGAACAGGGTGAGGGAGGGCCGGGAGGGCGGCTCCGGAAACCTGCCGAGGGGGAAGCAGGCGGCAGGAGGTCCGGCTTTGACTCAGGCCCTGCTGGCTCAAGCCTGTCCGGGCTTCGAGGAGGCCGTGGAGGGGGTCCGCTTCATCGCCAACCACATGAAGAGCGAGGACGACGATCAGAGTGTGAGTATCACGTCACACCACATTTTTGATCATGACACTGGTAATCATAACAATTACATGAACCCTCTACAGGCAGGTTTGAAAGTCAGATTCCACATGCTGCAGTGACAGAGAGAATCAGCAGGTGTTCAACTTCACGGCAGTCCTTGAATGTATCATGCACGTTTCTGCTGTCGTAGCCAAATCTAAGCTGTAAATCCTGATAGTGTATCAAAATGCCTTTAATCTGCGAGTCTCATTTAGAAATTGACCAAAAATAAAACATTTGTAGTAACCAGGTATTGGAAAAAACAAAAAATTCAACAGTCACATTAGAAGGTTTTCGGCTGAACTGCAGAGAGGAGACAACCAGAGAGATTTAGAGGAAAATACAACACGCTGGCTCAATAACATAGATGCAGCAACAGAGGAGCAAGTTGTTGGATGATACATTCAGCATGGTGAAACATTTTTCAAGAGTTATTGTGCTGAGTAGTGTGATATATCCATCCATCCATTATCTATACACTGCTTAATCCTCACAAGGGTCACGGGAGGGGCTGGAGCCTATCCCAGCCGACTTAGGGCGAAAGCAGGGGACACCCTGGACAGGTCGTAGTGCGATATATGTTGGTTTTAAAAATGTAAGTAGTAAAAATATCTATAGTTTATAGAATCACATGCTGATTCCATGTTTCCAGGTGCAAGATATTCAACTTCATTTTTCTTTTTTGTATTTTTAATGTCATTGTAACTGCGTCATACTGTGCCGAAGATCTTTCTGAGTCCTCTAGAGGTGCAGAACTTCATATTACAACAAAAAACGAGCCCACAGTAATGAAAATGTGACAGGATGCCAAGAAACTTTACTATTTAAGGCCACATCTGAGAAAGCTTTTCTTAGTTTGTTTCTTAAAAGTATTTATTTGTTCTATGCAAACGTCTTCCCCTGCAGCCTCCATCGCCTCAGTCCTTTTAGAATGATTCATTCTTCAGCGTTATTGAAGTCATCTGCTGAAATTTAATGCATTTTTTCAATACATTACTCAGATAAATTAAAGATTGTAAAGTCAGTTTTCTCCAGTGTTGTGTAGCCCGACGTACCAGGTGACTTTAGCATGTTGTATTGTGCCATAATAATAATAATAATAATAATAATAATAATATGGTTCTTAAACTGCCCAAGTAGGCAAGAAAATAAGATATACGTGTTGGTGATATTGCCAATAAAGCTTTTATAGCTGCAGTTTACTGCTCTGACAATATACACGTCAATATGATCAGCTCATAATATCAGCCTCGGCTTCAGCTCTGTATTAACCCTCTGCTGGCACATTTATATTCACTGTGAGCTCATTGTTCACTGCAGTGTAAAGTCCTGCACCTTTACAGAAACAGAACAACCATGACTAGAAAGAGGGAGAATTCAGAAATGTATTTGATGTAGTCAGACATAACTAGAAGGAAAGAAAATCTTTTTTTTTTTTTTTTTTTTAAATAGAGATAAATTGCTTTCATTGTTTATTCTTTTTAAATTTGAAAACGCTAGACTCACCACGTCCAGCATTTTTCCAATTCCACACAGGTGTTACCCATAGTGGATAAAAAATTGTGACTCTATGTTCTATATTTAACTTTTTTTAACCTGTTTCCGATCTGCTTTGTGTAAACGCTACCTGCAGTTTAGCTGAAAAGTCCCTGAATTTTTGTCAGGTGACAGCTGGTCACAGCTGAGTCACTAATATATTGTCATTTGCGCCAAGAAGCATGAAATTTTTCGATTTTTCAGAACGTAGTTAGGACAAACACTTAATTTTTGGCAATTTTTTTGTGTGTATTTTTGTGTATTAATGTAGAGTAAAGTGATTTTAATAGAATATCATAATTGAAAGCTTTAAATTTAAAAGTCACACATTAATAGCTTAAATAAAGCTGATAATCCACTGATTCTCTCTGTTTCAACAGTGTCTTACTCTGATACATTGTGTCATGTTGATGGTTTCTCAAAGATAAAGTACCTTTCAAACCAGGTTTTGGGGTTCAGAGGGTTAAAATGAAGAAAGTTATCCTGTCTCTCTCCCTGTGTGGCTAAAATCCCACCGTAAATCATCTTCTTTCCTGTGAATATGTGAGCAGCCACAAAAAGCAGCACAGATCGGTGCCAGTATCATGTTATGGAGCCGTGCAGCTGCGCCGCTCAGTCCTGCCATTTGAAACGCAGGAGGTACTACGGCGGACCAGAAGCGAAGGAGACAGATCTGGTGACGCAATCGCAGCCCCTCTGAATATTCAACGCAGACGTGTAATTATAGCAGCGGCGTGACGTGAGCATAGCGGAGCAGGCTGAGGGCGGCATTTTTTATTGCTTTTCCTCAAGGCATCTTCGGAGGCTTCTCTCGTGGAATGAGCTGAGAATCCTCCCGTCGCCATGCCGACCCCTCCTCCCCCCCTGGTTACCATCGCCGGGGTTACGGTGTCAGCACACCCTCCGCCTCTCGCCTCCCTCGTCCTTCGCCTCCTCCTTGACTCGTGTCAGAACTCATCAGCGCTGTGAGGCGAAGCGAGTCTCGGCTCACATTAACCCCCCCCCACCTCCATTAACCCCCAACGCGCCCTAATCTCTCTCTCTGTGTTCACGTCCGCAGGTGAGCGAGGACTGGAAGTACGTCGCCATGGTGATCGACCGCCTCTTCCTCTGGATCTTCGTGTTCGTGTGCGTCTTTGGCACGATGGGCATGTTCCTGCAGCCGCTCTTCCAGAACTACACGGCCAAGACCATCACCAGTTCGCCGGGCTGACCGTCGCGCCCCTTCGCTGACAGACAGCTCCCCGACCGACCGACCGACCGACCGACCGTACGGGACAAAACGCCGGAGGTCGGGGGGGGAGGCGGCGGGGTCGGCGATCCATTTACCTTTATAGTAACGTTTTTTGCAGCGAAAACAAGTTTTTCTCGTATGAAGATGAAGGAAAAACAGACTCTTTAACCTTGTCCGGATGCTTCGTGGACTGACTGACTGACCTCCCCCTTTTTCTGGCGGAAGGCTTCCTCTCCCCGCTCTCCTCCTGAGTGAGGACCTTATCGAAACCCAGCCACTTTCACACGCTGACTGCTTACGAACCCCCCGCCTTCAACTTATTCACAATCTGGACTGATGTCAGTATCAGAGAGGTTCATATCGATTTTTTTTTTGTTTTCTCGAAAAGATTCCACAATATGTCAACGAACTGATTCAGTATATTTTATCATAGCATAGCAGCTTTACCACAGTATAGCATCGAGTATATATTATTAAGATTTCTCTATGTTGTTTGGCTGATAGAGAGGCTCCGGTGTGTTGTATGATTGTATAGATATAAACAAGAATGTGATATAAACTGTACTACACAGCCCGCACACTGAACACTAAAAAGCAACAGATTGTGCAGGAAAAATACATAGCGGATGCTTATATATTAAAGGAGGAGGGCCAGGTTATTACATAAAAGTCAAAGGGATAATAGATTATGCATGGACAGTTTTTTGCTTAGAGTGTCGTGCACAGTAAGTAGAGAGCCGCCTGCTGAGCCCGAGAGCACAGCTGCACCCAGACGAGTCCTGAGAAATGGAGGAATCTGAGCCAAGATGGTGGAGAGAACCTTCTATATGTTGATTTTTTTATGATTATTATCATTATTATTATTTTTCGAGTTTAAAGACGAGCGAAGATCAGCTTTGGGGGGTAAAAATTTACATGTAAATTGGCAAGATTATGTGTATCAATACGTGATTTCACACCTGTTTATTTTCAGTCGCTGCTCCGAATTATCAGATCTTTGTTTTCTCCTCTCCTCTCCCTCCTCTTTCATACCTATTTGTTCATGTATGTAATGTTCAGAGCATATTTGTGTGTACGCCCGTCCCCATGCATTACCACAGCTGTGAGTGTTCAGAAGAGCATAATGTATGTATGTATGTGCCCACCTCTCTCCGGCCCTTATCTAGTCTTCCATGGACGCACATCTCTGACAGTAACAGCAGAAGAATTTTTTCCTCTTATTTTTTTGTTCCGACTGTTTCATTTCCACGACCGAGCGACAAGCCCCCTTTCTTTTCCAGGCAACATGTGCAGGGGAGGAGGAAGAGGAGGAGGATGAATTAAATTTTCAACAAGAGAGAAAGAGGCAATAAGTTATGTAGGATCATGAGCAGAACAGACAAACGGAGACAAAGGACTCTCAGTGTTGCGGTGGAAGAACGCCATCTAATCCTGTCGTTGGCGCTGAGTTTTTGCAGTCGTGTTACGACGAGTCGCCCCCCCCACCCCCTCGGCATCTCCGGAGGACGGAAACCCCCGAACAAGTGTGAAAAAAGCCCATCGGAGACCTGTGAAAACTGCATGGCGCCGGAGAAAGTGCTGCTGCTGCTGCTGCTGCTGTCCACTCTCTTTTCTCTCTCTCTCTCTTTGACCTTTCCACTCTCCTTCCTTTTTCGTCTCACGTCCTCGCCCATTACGCCTCCCCCCCTCCCATGTTTCACCATCTTCCCCTTCCCGACTCTAAAAATCTGCTCCTGTGCACACCTTAACCAGTCCAATAAAGGTTGTAGGTTCAGATTAAACAACGTACGTCGTCTCCGTTGCGTGTTTTTTTGTTTTTTTTTTTGCTTACACGACACCTGAAGTCCTGTAACACCCAGACTTCCCATCAATCTTACACCACAGGATGAAAAGAAAGAAAGAAGCATTTCCTGGCTTTCTATTATTGAAACTGGCAGCTTCCTTTTTATATATTCAAACACACACACACCGAGCTTTATTCTTTTAGGAAGCAGGACTTTTAAACAATCATGGGTGTAGCGCCGAGTCAAGGCCACGTTATCCTGCTGCGAAAACAGGAACAAATACCTGCACATGGAAACTTTTTTATTTTTTTTTACTTTTTCAGCTTCTTATGGATGTAATTTTGCCATTATTTTTGAAAAACTGTCTCCAATTTTGCATCTGAAGCAAATTAGAACTGAGTCCTGTTGCAGAGCTACTGCATCCAAGCGAGGGCCACTTGCTGCCACCTGGTGCCCACAAGTCTCCGCTGCAATAAAGCCACAGCCGACACTGTTTGAGTAAAGGTCACATTTATTCTTTCCAGGGGAGAATTCTTTAAGTTTGTAACAAAATGCATGAAAAGAAAAAAAAAAAAAGATAAAAGACAGATATTCACAAAACTAAGTTTCACATTTCAAGTGGAATTGGATCGGACAAATATGCAGACGACTCAACATTTACTGCTCAGAGTGACTGCTGCGTTTGTTGCGTATTTGTTGTTTCCGCGGCAGATCCCTCCTGCCTCCCTGGAGCACGCGCAGATGTGCGTTCGCCGAGGACGCCCTCACTTCTTCTTCTCTTGCTTTTCGTTGTACTCCAGGAAGAAGTCGTTGCAGGCCACGGTGAGCGCTCCGACCAGGATGATGAACTCGGTGAAATCTACCTCGCCGTCGTTGTTGGAGTCCAGGTCTCCCATGACCTTGTCCACCGCCTCCCTGTCCTGGGCGTTCTGCAAGAATGAGGACAACAAAAACACCAAAATATAGTCTCGCACACAGAATTTGCTGCGTTTTTAAGCGTGCGCATGTGCTTTCTCACCCCCAGGTAGTTGCCCAGCTCGGCGGTCAGCATCTCTTTGAGCTCGGCCCTGCTCAGCGTGTACTTGTCGCCCTCGTTTCCGGAGTACTTGTGGAAGGTCTGGATCATGAGCTGCATGGCGCTCTCCAGGGTGGAGGCGTTCTCTGAGTTGGGCAAAGACATTCTGCAGGGAAGTGGAAAGGGTTGGGTTGAGGACACGGCGAAAAGGCCGTCCGTGTCGGTGTTTGTGCTCTGTCAAGCATCCAATGCAGAAAATCAATACGGGTTAAAGCCTCTGCCTCGCTAATGCATGTACACGCTTTTCCCTCTTAGAGCTGGTAAACAGACACATGCAGGGACTCTTACAGCAGCATCTCTGAGATCTGGCCTGTCCGTGTGCTGACAGTATCTGAGTGGGAAACCCTACACAGCCCCGCAGTCAGGCGTGTTTCCTCCCTGCCAGCAGCATCCTGATAAGATGCTGCTGCAGATAAACCGATCCTTCAATCTGTTTGTTGCTCTGCCGCCAGCGTCCGGACCTCTGGGAGTCAGCAGCCGGACATGTGAGCCCCGCTGATAAGAGTGAAACTCTAAGCTGGTTAAACAGGCCGTCCGGTGGAGGAGATGCATCGCCGAGGCAACCCGATCTGGCTTTTACTTTAGCTGCACCGGATGGCAAAAAACACCAGAGACAGGTGTAGGTCACTGTCTTTCTTGAACCTGTTTTACCTCTGAACTGTGAGGACTTTTCCTAACTGCCAATCACGGCTCGCATCCGGCGTTTCTCGTGGACGTAATTTGTCCAAAATGCCTCGAATCAGCGGCCGGAGAAACGACCAGAAAGAGCGATTTTATCCTGCAGCTGTCCAGATAAATGTAAACTTTTTAGTGAGCAAACAGGCAAATCTTTCTGTCCCTTGTGTTTGCTTTGCACCAAAACTTCCAACATGCATCACCACAAAAATCTACTTTTTGAAATAAGAAGTCAGAGAAACGCAGTCAGATCTGCTCTCTACATCCTCCTACCTTGGTTTCTTACCTGAGTGGAGGACGACTGGGTGCTGGCCGGCTGCTCGGGTGTAGACGGAGGAGGCAAAAGCGACTGATAAGGAGGATGAGGACGACAGCGTCTTAAATACATGCCTCACTCCACCCATCCCTCCTCTCCCTCCTTCCACCTGTCGCCCCTCTCCTCCTACCGATTCCCCCCTTCTCCCCTCCACCTTCTCTGCTTACAGACACCTGCCATCCGCTAAATGGATTTGAGGATGCACCTGTTCCCTCATTGGTGAAATATCCACCGAAAAACGCTAATGGAGCTGTGACTGCAACAAGACATTAAGTAAATTGAAATCCACCACAAGCATGTAAATGTGGTCTTGTCATTCTCAAGCTGCATTGAGGTTTGAGCAACGAGTGCACGCAGCAAGTTTTAGATTCGGTTTGCAGTATTCATGGTATTCACAAGACCAACAGCATTTTTTGGAGCACAATGGAGCGCAGTGGCGATGACATACTGCTTACTATGTTACAGCTCTGCCATTGTGACGGCGGATTATCCTGCTGCTCCGTTGTGCAACCATTTTGTACTTCAGGTCAAAACAAAGCTAAGGCTTGCAGGGAGTGCTTAGATAAACAGTTTGCCTGAATAACTTCATAACTTTGCAAATGTAAGGCAGCGAGCAGAGCATCGTGGGTAGGATGTTGGCTGGAGGAGAGGAGGGGTGGGGAGGGGAGGGGAGAGGGGGGTCATGCCTGATATAGTATCCGAAGGATCGGAGTAACAGCGATGAATGGAGCCATCACACCTGGCAGCCATGCAGAGAAATCCCCACACAAAGACGATTGCAAAATGCACCACAAAGGAAAACATGACGATACAAGGACACACACACTTACACACACACACGATTTCACATATTCACACCTTAAGCTCCAAAACACACTACATGCATATGCAAACCACATACTGTAAATAGCTCATTTCATGCATCCGCCAGACTTAAAGTGCTCTAAAGGAGACACTGAGAGGACGAAACGCAAACGAGGGCCAATAAATGAATGTCAGAGATGCATAAAATCATGTAAACAACATTAACATTAATGTAAATGCACTTTCATTGCCCATGATGCTGAGTGCATGTTCTTGTTTATGTGCCTCCGCTGCGGTATATTGTGTCGGTGAGTGGTGTGTTTGTGTGCGCTTGCATGCACCATATGTGTGTATGTATAGTGTTGCACAGAGGATGGTGCACAATAGGAAGCGTATACTGTATGTCAGGATCTGGTTGCAATAGCTGATGCATCTAAAGGCTGCCGAGGATGTCACGGCTATATTCAGCAAGTCTTGCATGAAGCTTTGGCGCCTATAGGACAAAGACACTATGATATTACCAACAGCGGAAATGAGTACAATCCTGTGCGGTATCACTTAAATGTGAAATGATTCGTCATTTCTACGGTGGATAGTCGAGTAAATCCTATTATGTAAAATAATAATAATAATGAAAAAAACTTTATAAAGACTCTATTGAAAATTCAGAAGTAGAAACTCAATGCAACAAAAGTGAGCACACCTGTGATTTCCAACCAGTCTAACTGCATGAACAGGGTTCTAAAATAAGCTGTGAACAGCAGAACTTTTCTAGTTTAGGGCCTGTGAGCTGTGTCTATATCAGCATCATGGCTCTACGTGAAAAAAAGATCACCAGAGGAACTGAAAAGTGACTAAAATGACTCCACAGACAGTGAGCTACTTTCACAATCTAAATGTGAAATCAGACAAAGGCAGCTGCTCCAGACTTGGTACAGGGGTTATCAATGGAAACCAGAGTTAGTGTGAAGCTCAGACAGTTTTTGATATCAACCCTTTATGGACGGACTCCGAGAAAACGAAACGAAACTTTACGGGGGGGGGACACGGACAGAAGTCTGATGGATGTTGGAGAACAATCTTTGGTCAGATGAAGATAAACGTGTTGGGCTCAGATGGAGTCCAGATGTTTGGTGTGAACCTGACCAGGACCACCACAGTGGATGTATCGTCCTGACAGTGAAGCACGGAGGTGGCAGCATCATGATATGGGGCTGCATGAGGGCAGAAGGTGTTGGGGAGGTGCTATAAATGTAGAGATACTGGCTGATAAGATGACTCCCAGTCTGCAGAAGCTGGAAGAAGAGGAATATTCCAGCAGGAGTTTCCAAAGAACAAAGTTTAACTACGACCTGGACAAGGACACAGCCTGCCTTGAATCTAATAGAACACCTCAGACTTTTGCTGCATCGAGTTCCTACTATGGTGCCTGTTTGTTTTTCTAAACTGTAAATTTTTAATTTGACATCAGAGCAATGCTTGTTAAACTCAGACGTAATCTAACAAACGTTTGGAACATTTGTCATTTCAGTAATCTTGCATTGTGCTGCTCTCTGCATAATTAAAGTGGACGTCATTGGGGTCGAATCAACAATGACACGTTTTATAGAAGCAAACTCAGTGACAACACAGCTTTAATATAAAGAGTTTATTTGAAAACACAACAAGCATCTTTTATGTAATTGGTATAAAAAAAAAGAGTACTTCGGTGGAGATCAATAAGGTGGATATGGACAGATGTTGAGATCAGAGAATTACACATCTGGTTGATAAACTCAGTAAACGTGATTATGGACAGAATGAATACATGACGGCTGCACTGTTTGGCAATGAGAACAGAAGCTCCAAAGCTCAGAATCGGACTGTTAATCTGTGGATCTCCTACGGCTTCTCGAGCATCTACGACGCGTCCGCACTGCTTCCAGTCTTGCTCTGGCTGAGGGAGTTGGCCAAGTAGCCAATCAGAGAGAGGTATTCCTGGAAGCTGACCTTTCCGTCGTTGTTCACGTCCAGCCCCTGCTGCATCTCCTTAATGGCAGAGGAGCTGTTTGTATCCTGAATAAAACACAAAGACAGAAGCAGATGAGGAATCCTGCTACGATTGTTTTTTACAGCGCTGAGGATGATGGGTAACCGCTGAAAGTTTCCTACCTCCATGAGGCCGCCGAGCTGTTTCTGTACCATCTTCTGGAAGCTTTTCCCATCGAGGTTCTCCTTCCCCCTGGAAGAACTCAAAAACGTGGTCACCAGCGTCTGAATGGCTGACTCCATATCTCTGGAAGACAGAGAGTCAAGGACACAAAGCACAAAGGAGAATTCAGCGTAGGAAGTGGCAAACACAGATACAGCCATATCTTCAGACTGTCAGACGTCGTGCCGTTAGGTACAGTTACGGCAAATTTTATTCACAGGAAAATGCAATCACATCGAGCTTTGAGTGGATAGAAGGCTTATTTCATATTTAGTGCGTCGTTTGGCTGGAAAGGAGAAATGCTGACGGCAAGACTGTGCACAGCTGATTGATGTTTTCTCAAGTGTCTGCGGCGTTTGTTCGCGGGCCTTTTGTCTTGAGACATATTTTTTAATGTATTTAACCATCTGAACCCCAAAACAAGGTTTGAAAGGAATGTTTTCTTGCCAGTATTACACCATTTATTCACCACAATCTTTCAACTTTCTAACAGCACCCTTCTGTCTGGAAAAAAATGAACCAAATCTAAGCTGGTAAGCAGTGGCATTTTATCAACATCACCTCAACAGTCTGCACCAAAGGGTTCCTGCAAATAACAGAGTGTCGTATTTGTCGGCTGAACTGCAGGCAGCGCTTCCACAGAGGCAAGAGGAGACGACAAGATAAACTGATAAAACTGATACTGAATCAATAAAAAAAAATGCAGCACGGCTCAAAAAGAGTGAATTGTTTGTTGGACGATACAGTCAGCATGGTGGAACTTCTGTCTGGAGCTAATGTGCAGATTGGTGCAAAAAATACTTTATATCACACAGTCCAGAAGACATTTCTGAGTTCTCTCTCCTACTTCATGGTTGTTCTGTTTCCATAAAGGCAGTGAATATGAGTCACAGTGAGGAAAAATCTGTTGGAAGCAATAAACAACCAAAAATAAACACCAAATCTAGGTTTTGCACGTGATGGAAAGAGTGGAGACCAAACTGTGTTTGAACCGGATAGTCTCCTCGACATAAACATGCAAGAAAGGTGAGACACGGCGGTGATGTCAGCGTAGGAAGAGGATGGACTCCGAGGTAAACAGAGCGAGAGGAGGCTTGAAGAGGAGGGAGTCTCTAAAGGTAAACACAAAGGGAGCTGTGATCTCTGACAGTGGACATCTGATCCCCGGCAGCAAGCAGGAGGCTGCAAGTTCAGATTACTGCCTGAAGGCCGTCTGCTGCGGCACAACATCCCCAACGGCACCAGAGCCCAGGTCAACAACGTCAGCCGGTCAGTCACAACAGATTTAAGCAGTTTTATTTTCACTGGACGTCACATCTGGTACGACAACGAGCTTTTGCTGCACGCACTGGAATCCAGATTTTCATTATAAACATGCTGAACAATCAGGAGCCCACCGTTCATCCCTCACCACATACACAGCAGGTTTTCAGTGCGTTAACTCTGGATAAGAGGCAGAACAATTATTACCAAGAAACTAAAAAAAAAACCCTGATTCTTGAGTGTGCTGTTGACATTCTTTCACAATGCAGCGCTCGGGGAAAATGAATTAGCTGCTCGCAGCTGCAACAAATTAAAACTAACCGCCGGCGGTGAGACGGACTCGAAAACAAGCAACCGAACAAAACGACTGAACGCTGCGCTTGGACGTCTGAAGGATCAGCGGGAAATCCTGATGTTTAGGTGACATCCAATTTGTGGGAGAATTACCTGGAATTAGTCCCACAATTAAGAAAAGAAAAACTGAACTAGTGACAGTAAACAGAGTGTCCACAGTTTTAAAAATAAATAAACAAATAATCAAAACAACTGGATGTGCTGTGCATCCTTACGGTGCATCGACAGTAAGAAAGCAGAACATTTTGCTGTTATTTAATGGTAACTCTATAATAAACAGAAATATAATATAATAAATAGCAAAATCTAAAATAATTTATAATAAAATGAGGGATATCTACTGTTACCTTAATTGAGTAGCTATAGAGAAATCTAGGATATTTTCTGTTATTTAATTGTAAATCCATAATAAATATAAATAAAATATAATAAATCATAAAATACAATATATAATATAAAATGAGGAATATTTACTATTACTCAATGGAGCATCTATAGTGAAATATAGGACATTTTTCCTTTATTTATTGGTAAATCTATAACAAATAGAATTTTGTTTTAAGAATTAACAAAATATAAAATGATCTCTAATAAAACAAGGAATGTTTACTGTTACTTAATCGTGTATCTATAGTGAAATATTGGACATTTTGTGTTATTTAAAGGTGAATCTTCAGTATAAAAACTGCAAATGTGAGATAAACATAGAAAATACTAGAAAATGTGCAGGCAGTTCATCACTCAAACTTTATAAAAATATACACTTTCTGTTAATTCATGGTTCACCTGTTGTATATATATATATATGTATATATACATGTAGCTGTCATTATTATAACAGCTACAGCAATAAGAAAAAAACTTCTCCACCTATAGAGTGAATAACAAAAATCCTTCACATTTACATAAAAATACTGAATTAAAATAAAAAGGAAATGTGGCTTTTGAATCTCTAAATTGAAAAGACACTCTTCATATTTACTACAGTCTCTTTTAACATTACAAACAAACACGAACAACTAAAACATACAGTCATGCAACTGCTAACAGATCTTCTCTCATCAAGATCTTTTAGTATAGATGTGTACCAGCTCTGACAGTTTACTAATAGTTTATATTATGTTATATATACGTCGTAGGTCTGTGTCCTCTCAGGTGCTGCTGGAGCACATTCTGTTTTATTCCTTGTCGTTAAAGAAGTGAGTATGACAGCAGCACCGTGAGAACTGTCGACAAGCTGAAACTTATTTTAGTTCTTGGTGCGTTCATCGCCTCGCAGCTGGATGGCTGTAAATCTCTGTCACGGTCCGACCAGTTAGTTCAGAAACAAGCTGCCAGGTTCTCAGCCGGTCCAAAGAAAACAGAACATCCCTCCGGTTCTGGCTTGTTTTGCATGAGTTTGTCTTTAAAGCCCTTTAAGTTTTAGCAACAGTTTTCTGCTCTTCATCCTCTCAGTTCTTCATGAAACAACAGGAGCTGCTGCACTCACACGTCTCACATCTAAAGGGAACTTTTCTTTGTCTTCAGTTCTTTCTGAAGCTGCTACTGTATCATCCTGCTGCTCTGTGTTGATCAGCTGCCTGATTTCATCCAGTTTTTAGGGTTTTTTAATGATTGTTGTCACTTCCTTCTTGCATCTCATCACTTTACCTCCTCTCTCTCTCCCTCCACCTTTCTGTAGGTTCATTTGTATTGTACATAAAATATCCATCTTAATATTTAACCTTCTGAAATACAAGCAGTTTCTGACCTGTTTTTCTTTTGCTCCTGTCGCTTTTTTCCCCCCACTTTGCACTAATTTTTTACTGCTACATAAAGCAAAAATGTCACAAATCAGGGAAAAAAATAAAGTTGAATTTTACAAACACATGAAAAAAAAAACAAACTGGAATACAACATCTTTCCAGGTGTCCACAGGTGCCACCAACACCGTGGGAGTGGAAATGGATTTAACAACCGACATTTGTTATGTGTTTTCATCCTCGTCTCCTTTCTTCTCTGGAGAAACAAAGGCAGCAGTTCAGCTAAAAACAACTCACGATTTTTGTCACAAGACTGTTTGCTCACAGCTGAGTCAGTCATGGGTTCATCGTCGCTCCGGGGAGGGAAGAATTTAACCACGGAGACACCAGATTTGGAGATTTACAGAAAGTAGGGTTTGACCTATATTGGATTACAATTTTTTTTCCTATTTACATTTTTTAAAATTGATTTATTAATTAAATTCAGTTTAATTAGATTTTATTTTTAGGGTGCATGCTGTCATTAATTATTGGTCACCAAGAAAGACTGATTAACATGTTTGTAGTTTTGTGCAGAATGTGGACCAACAGGCTTGTTTTTGGCTATTTTTTAATTGAAACATGTAAAATGAACTGTTTCTTTTTTTTTTTTAGATTATCATGAATACAGGCTTAAATTTAGTAAAATAAGATTTTGCTAATTCCACAATTGCAGTATCAGAGCTGCAAAGGGGATCGTGCAAACATTTAAGGAATGTAAAAAAATATACACAAGCAGTATGTACATAGGTTTACTGATGAAACTAGAATTGATCAAAGACCACTGAAAAGTTTTTAAAAAATCAATTTTTACAATATCTATCTCTAATAAAGTGGATAATTTTGACATTTTGTTTTCTAAGATCACACTGCTTTTGACCTCACTGGTGTGTTTCAGAGGGTCACATGATTCAGGTGATTTTGTGTTATCTATAATATTTTTGATACCTTAATATTTAAACTTGTTGGCTAAATTTAATCCCATTTCGGTTCTGGAAGGCACTTCTTTTTTCTGCATCTGTCGTTTTGAATGTGGCATATAAATGACAGCTACCTGAAGATATGTTGAATTGTTGTAAACCAGCTGCAGAAGTTATGACCACATGCTGTATATTATTGACGTGAAACTGGACGTGAGCAGCTGATTGTTAAAACTGCTGCACGGGAGAAACCGACTGCAAACTTCAACACATCTCAGCCAGCAGTGGGGTCCAGCTCCCCTTCGGCTTTCTGTTTCCTCGACGAATGCCGAGGCTCTGGGGGAAGACAAAAGGGCCGCGAACAAACGCCGCAGACACTTGAGTCGGGTCGATGGGTATCTGCGGCTGCGTGGGGGTGAGGCCTCGCAGGCTGCAGGATTTCCAGTGTGTAGTGGAAACTACCGCCATGATGATGATGATAATGATGATGATGATGATGGATGGGAGCCATGTTGACGGGGTAACCGTAGAAGCTGGTAAATCTCCCATCTGACACAGATGTCACACCTCAATGCTCGATGCACCTCCGCGCAAAGACGGACAGACAGACGGGAGGACGCGCACATATCTCAAGAAGCACCAATTAGGACTTGTGCTGCATTAACCTAATTACTGGGTGAGTGAGAGCAGGCACCCAAACCCTGGATTGGGTTTCATGTCTCCCTGCCCATGCCAGCGAACACACACACACACACACAAACTTCTTTCCAAACATACAAGTGAGCATCTGTCATCAGCATGCACTTCATCATTATTTCATAGGTTACTATAATTGTCCCGACACCTTCCTCGGACAGTTCCTATCATACATGCAGACGCCTGACAGGCCGCCGTCCATTAACGTCTCGTCCGGGTGTAATGAGACGAACGTGAAACCCCGCAGCCGATTCCTCGGTCAGAACCAGAGACGCCGGGATGACAAACGGGCCGAGGGGAACATGCAGGAGGGTTTGTCAGAGAGCGGGAGAGCGGCCCGACCCGGCTCCGGGGTGCAGAGGTTCAACTCGGAGTGACTCAAGTGGAATGAATGCTCGCGTGAAAGCCCAGATCGTGGTTTTATTCCTGGAGTCTTTTGTGGCTTTTTTTTTTGGTTTTTTTACTGGAATCTTGCACCACACACGGTTCTCAGAATAAAGCAAAGACGACTAGTGAGCTGCAGTTGCAAGAAGGCCCCTTTTTAAAGATATCTGCAGAGGCCTGAATTCACGACAGACGTTCAGAATCAACGGCTGTGTCCTAATGTCACATTCCACAACAATAAAAGACAGAAACGCTGTCTTATTGGACTGTTTTTGCAGTTGGTTTTACTGTTTTTAGCAACAAGAAAGAGAGCAACATGTGCACCAGAAGATGGAAGACTGTCTCAAGCACACTGAATACAGCAGAAACTACAGATAAACTTTATAGTAAATTCTTAAAGGTAGCAGGAACTTTAGGTCAAAATAAAATGATACAAACCTCAAACTATTCATCCCCAGGCCATTTTTAAAATTTTATTTATAGTGAATTTATTTAATATAGTGACACCAACAGGTTTCTTCTGGCTGGAAAATGTCAAAAACAAGTGACGAAAGACAGCAAGACCTTGTGTTAGAGATGTTTATGCTCCATTTGAACTATTTTAATGTCATT